AAAGCGATGGAGACTTACCTTTGACAGGTCTGGAACTACTTAATTTTTCCAATTATATCACATCTAATGAAATTGCATAATTTTTGTTAATTGGGGTGTGCGATAGACTTACCTCCACGTGGTGCACCCTGGGCAACGTATACTCATATGGCAAAAAGTCCATTAACTGGCAGTTGACCTCTGACTTCAAATTTCCATAACCCCACTTTATGCCATATTCAACCCCTTTCACAGTACTCATCTAGCCTTTTCTCTGCCTTTGTGTCTGTCTGTCTGTCTGTTACATCTGTGAATCGCTCTTCTTTCCCCCTGTCGAATTTTTCTCACCTTAATGTTCCTCCCTTCTGTGAAGCTCGAAGTCAACTAAAGGGCTAATGATAACTATCAAAATGCCTGCCAATTGAAATAAATAAACTTTTGTTAATTAATTTCCTAAATTTATTACACTTTGCTTATAAACACTGTTTTCTCTTTGTGTGTGAGTTGCATAAGTTGGAGATTATGTGGCAATACACTCATACTCAAATCGTATGTAGCGTGAAAATGAACAAAACTAGTTTAAAATTTTGCCAACTGAAGGTGATCATTACAATTATACTTTTTTGGGTAAAAGCAATTAGTAGTCAAGTAAAACCTTTCTCACCCTTCATAAACCATTAACAAAAATAGATTTCTAATCGATTGGACAAACTTGTCGCCTTTCCACTCCTCTAAAAATTTCCGTGTCGTCTTAAACTTATGGAAAAAATAATTATTACTTTACTCTTGATTGCGTATTTGAAATTATTTTTCAATCTCAGTTTTACTTTCTTTCGTGCTTGTGGTTTATTGAATTTTTTGTGCTATAATCAGACGGAATGATTATTCACCTCCAAATATTGTATTATTAAATAGCGAATAGTAATCAACGTGTTAGAAATCAATATATATTACGCTTGGCTTTCAAATAAATTAAATTGTAATCTAAATAATTACATTTTAAAGATGAAAAAAAGCAATAAAATATCGTAGAGTTCAAACATACAATATTCAACTTATTAATAGTCAATGCGTGCTGATTAATTTCAAAATTTTAAATTTTATGCACCTTTAAATTAATTATATTTATTTACTTGAAAATTTTATAGAGCAACTGGGTAACTTTTAAGCAACTAAAACAAAACTTGGAATGCTCTCATTGGTGCCAGACGGCATAATTCCTCGGAAGATTCTAATGCAATAACCTTCTGAATGCGAATTTATGCTCTTTTTCTCTCAAATGCAATAAATTTTACATTTTAATTCCGACCCTGCTCTTAATTTATTCAGTTCAATGACGTTGTATCTTCTTTTGGCATTATTTAAGAAACATATTTCATAAGACACTGATCTGGTAAAGTCACATTAGTAAAGAATTGTGATGGTTATCATTAATCTCCCGTCAATATTTGATCTCAATTACCTACTATTTTTCTTTTATAAAACTTAACTTCTATCATTAATAAATTCAATTTCTTCTTCAAAACTAAAATTCGCTGACTGAAACTTGCATAGTACTTTGGAAGGGCATTAAGCGTGACTATCATAAACTACCATTCCAGCTTTGTCGAGTAATTGATAAACAAGGGGATAATTAGCTCAATTCCAAATCACTGAATTCCTTCTTATTAGCGCAAACTTATTTAAAAAGTCAACAGGATATGCTGATATATAAAATCAGATAAGATGAATGCAAAACGCATGAAAACTTACTGCCCATAGGGCCTCTGAGCACTCGAACCATCAAGAACCAATCAAATTATGGGATCACTAAATTATTCGGGAATCGGCCGTACTTGAGGACAAAGATTAACCATATCAAGCAAAAAAAGTCGAAACTACTATTGTTCCCTACTAAATTAATGAACAATTTATTTATTTCAAATGGCAGACGTTTTGATAGTTATCATTAGCCCCTTAGCTGATTTCGGGCTTCACAGAGAGGAGGAACATCAAAGTGACAAAAAGTCGACAGGGGGGGCAGATTAATGATTCACAAGTGTGAAAGAATCAGACAGACACAAAGGCAGAGAAAAGGCAAGATGAGTACTGTGGAAGGGGTGGAATATTACATACAGTCGGGTCATGGAAGTTTGAATTCAGCAGTCAACTGCCGGTTTATAGACTTGTTTGCGTATGAGTGTACGCTGCCCGGGGTGCACCACGATGAGGTAAGTCTATCATATACCCCATAAATAGTATATAATATTTGAGGGGATTTTGAACCAAACGTGGAGGGGAATTGATATCTCCTTAGTTCTTGAACACCAGCTAAATATATTTCATCTTCACATATATGTTTATGCCTCGTGGACGATTCGTTCGTTGACACTGCGATATATGCCTCGTGAAAAGAAACAACTGAGCAAACCTCGAACCAAGTCAAGCGATTTCAAATGTGTTCTGGAGTTTTTCATTCACTAAAAGAACATAGCTAATGATTTTAATTAAAAGAACTTTATTTCCTGCGTAAGCAAAATTACCTATGAAAGGTAACTATCAAAATTTTTATTTTTTTAGTTTTGAAAAGTAATAATTTTCCGCATTAAGTTAACCTCAAGTATTTGTTTCTTTAAGTATGCAATTTTTTATTTTTTAATAATTTTTTAATAAAATTTAAAATGTAAATAAAATTAATTGAAGAAAAAATTACTTTTCGATAGCATAATGAATTGTTTAGCATCCTATTTGAATTGTACCCACTTTTCTGCTAGCATAATATAACAAAAATGCCAATTTTAGTACCGGAGAAGCATTTGAAATTAAAAAGATAACAAAAGTCAGATAAGGAGAAGTTGAAAGTAAATAGGAGTTCGACTGTAATTGAACACTTTTTCATTTTTGAAATCGAGTTGTGAAAATGAACTATTAAAATTAATTCAAGGGTAATTAACTTCATATTTTGCATTTTACCCCCACCTTTAATCTTTAGAATATTCTGATAAATTAATTGATTTTCCTATTCATACTGTTGCAAATCACTACCTGTTCTAATAACCAGGATAGTAAGATATGTGGAGAGTCCAACGCTGTCACGGTTGAACAAAGAAACCTCATGCGCATCAAGATAAGCTCGAAGGTGCAGTCGTGCTACTTGTCGCATAGTGAGTAAGTGGGGTCGCGTGGACAGTGACCTCTCTACCAGCCACCAATCAAGAGTCCTTCATTATATTTCAATGATCAAGCTCCGTGTCAGTGACACCCAGTCCAACTAAACTTATCGCTCGTCATACATCTACTTCCTCAATAGCATTGTGGTAGCTTCTCTAATCGTGGAAGCCATTCCAAACTGGGAGGAAGTGACATAGAGATTACTGGCTTATTAGTGTAGTAAATCGCTACAAGGTGTTATTGCGTAATTGATCATAACATGCCACACCTCACCGAGCGCCACTGATGCATTTATTTTTTCGAAATTCTCACCAAATACTACTATCACTCTTTCAAACAAGGCATTGTTAGTAAACAGCCTTATGATACTTTCAAATGTCAACAATATTTCATGCCACTGTGTTGGACAAAAGCTTGTAATAAGGTTATTTCTTTCACATTTTTTTTTCAAGTACCATTCACCAACTTCGTGAGATTAGTAATTTATGACTGACTTAAATAAAACAAAAAAAACAAACTTTCGGCAGACAAATTGAGGTGGCCTTTCAAAATTTTGTATGATTTACTATCTCAACGTCTGGACAATATTTACTTAAGATTACCATTCGTTACTTCACTCTCTCTCTCTCTCTCTCGAAAAAAGGTGAAGTAAGTACTAGGGAAGCAGTCGAATTTGACATACAGTGGTGTGATGATAGTTTGAAGTCACAAGTCAACTGCCAGTTAATCGACTTTTTGCCGTATGAGTATACGTTGCCCAGGGTGCACCACGTGGAGGTAAGTCTATCCCACACCCCACATTTTACAATATTACTATTCAATAATGATAAGGTGTATTGACAAGTCTTTGGGTTCTCCGTGTTTTTAATAGTAGGATTCATTCCAGTCATTTAAGTCTGTAGAAGGTTCTGTTTTGACCTGTAGACCCTTATTCAGGTAATTTATATCGAAAGTAAGAATTTGCATTATAGCGCCAAAAGCCCGATTTAAAGATTTCTGTATTTTTTACAAAGAAGCTGCCATTCCTACCTCTTTGCGATAAAAATCCCATAGATTAAGATATGACGATAAAGGTGGAAAACAGCAATTGTGAAGAAGGGGTTTATGGTGTGCGTTTGTTGTTCGTGGTAAAATTGATCAGAGATTTTAAAGTGGCTCCCATTTCTTAACCTCTGATGTTGTTCTCCGCTTTTTGACAAACTAACTCATTTCTGATAGACCTATATCACATTGGAGGCTGTAATTTGATATTTTTGACAAAAATTTACCGACTGGTAGAATGGTAATATAATTTCTTAGAAGAAATTATTAGTCATTATTATTATTTTAAATGCCAGGCTTTATGATATTTATCCTTGGCCTCATAGTTGACTTCGGCTTTCACAAGTTGTCTTGGGTCTTTTCTTGTTGATTTGGAGGTTACCCAGGAATTTGAATGTGTGCTGACTATCATTTTGATAGTTGATATCTGAGATAAAGTTGTCAAAGGTAGTTCGTTTGGCTTGTAAGGTGGCTTGCTTTAGGACAGCTGACTGCTGTCTCCAGGCTTGTACGTCTTCAAGGACAGCTGACTGCTGTCTCCAGGCTTGTACGTCTTCCGTTCTTCCAATCTGTTCTGTAATTTTGCGGAGGGCGTCCCGCTTTCTTTTCAGTTCCTCAAGGTGTTTAGACCAAAACACTCGATAGTGTTAAGTCTTGCCTCGGGGAATAGTTTTCTTTGCATATCTGATTACAATATTCGAGATATTTTTGCACAGTTTATCAGAATGTTGGTTGAAGTCGATGGGACTTGCGTAAACTTCGCTCACAAAATTGTTTGTGAATCTAGACCAGTCGGCCGTCTTGGACTTCGTTGATAGCTTGGTTATCATTCACGGTGTCATGCGTTTGCTGCCGATGGTAATACTAGCAATGATTGGTTTGTGACCAGAACCAGAATCGTCAATTATTTTGCCATGGGTATGCTCGCTGATGTCGCTTGAAGCCAGGAGCAAGTCAAGGGTTGTTCTGGCTCCATTGTAGTGCAGGTATGTAACAGGATCGTCATCGCTGTAAATAAGTTCCAGAGGGTTGCTGTTTAGCATGTCTTTAAGCGTGTCTTAGATTTCCTTTCCAGTTGTGCCTATGCACTTCTAGCTCCATTTGATGGAAATGTTCAGAAGATCGAAGTTGGGCCTGTTCTGTGGTAGATTGTATTGGGTTGGCAACTAAGTCATTGCCGTTTTTGTTGACAGATTCACTGTATACTTTCTTTTGTTTTGTTAACGTGGCCAGAGCATCTAACCTATATTTTTTTCTTACTGTATGGGCTTCTAGGTTAATTAGTAAAAAATTTTTTTGTTCAGTTCTTTAGTTTTGTTTTTATCCCAATTTANAAATGAAAGAACAGGACGTGCACTTCCGACACATTTTATTGTATTACTTCCGAAAAGGCAAGAACGCATCGCAAGCACAAAAGAAGTTATGTGCCGTATATGGAGATGAAGCCTTAAAAGAAAGGCAGTGTCGAAATTGGTTTGAAAGATTTCGTGATTCCGGTGATTTTTCACTGAAAAATTCACAACGATCTGGCCGCCCAGTCGAAGTGGATGAAACCCATATCAAGGCCATTATCGATTCAAATCGTCACAGCACAACACGAGATATTGCAGAGAAGCTCAATGTGTCGCATACATGCATTGAAAAAAAATTAAAAACCCTTGGTTATGTCAAGAAACTTGATTTATGGATCCCTCACCAGTTAAAGGAAATTCATTTGACGCAACGGATCACAGTAGCATCTGTGATTCGCCGCTACTGAAACGCAATGAGAATGATCCATTTCTGAAGAACCTAGTTACTGGCAACGAAAAGTGGATAGTTTATAACAATGTTACTCGCAAGAGATCATGGGTGAAGCAAGATCAACCAGCCCAAACAGTATCGAAAGCAGAGATTCACCAAAAAGAGATTATGCTGTCAGTCTGGTGGGGGGATCACAAATGAATTTTGTATTTTGAACTCATGCCGCAGAACCAAACGATAAATTCAAATGTGTGTGTTGAAGAACTCGAAAAACTGAAAGAAGGATGCAATTGAAGATAAGCGGCCGGCATTATCAAATCGGAAGGGTGTTGTTTTCCACACATCTTTGGTTACTCGGCAAAAATTATTGGAACTGGGTTGGGATGTTTTGTCACACCCACCATATAGCCCTGACCTTGCGCCTTCGGATTACCATTTGTTTCGTTCCATGCAAAACTCTTTAAATGGTAAAATTTGTAACAACGCGGATGATGTCGGATCACACCTAATTCAGTTTTTTAATAGCAAAGACCAGACATTTTACGAACGGGGAATTTTTACTCTGCCAGAACGATGAAAAAAGGTCATCGACAAGAACGGCCAATATCTAATTGAATAAAGTTATATTTTTAAACAAAAATTCCGAATTTGCCTTCTATTTGAAATCGGCAATGACTTAGTTGCCAACCAAATAGACCGCGTACATCTTGATTTTGACATTTCCAAACATTTAATCTGTTTATATCACATATATCTTGCGTTGAGCCCATACTCTTGATTAGTTAGCGATGTGCTGTGAGGTAATCTTTTGTTGTAGTCAAAATTCCACTTCCTACTTGCCGATCTTTAGGTAGGAGATATAATGTGTAACCTGGGAATCGGTCGTATTTAAGTTTGTCATCCATAAGGTTGGCTTCCATAATTGTTAATATATCTATCTCATAGGTAAGCAGGATTTTCTGGATTTGGATCTTCTTGTCTTGTGACATCCCTCCAGCACTGAAGGATCTGTAGAAATTGTGATTCGCCCTGACAAGAGTGATTTCTCTTATAGTTTCGTTTCAGGCTGATCATAATAGTTTGAAGACAACTGTTAAGTTATAGACCTTTTGCCGTATGTATAAACGTTGTCCAGGGTGCACCGCGTGGAGGTAAGTCTATCGCACACCCCTTGGTTGATCATTGATTACCGGAAAATTGTGACTTTTACTACGTACAATCACGTACAATTTGAAGTTACGCAGAGTTTCTAATCATTTACTCAGTTCAATTATTTAAAAAATTCCATACAAAAATTAAAACAAAAGATGGTGGAGCTTTCAGCGGACCCTCGATGTAGATGGGTGGCAAGAAGAGAAGACAATAGTTATTTCCCATCCTTGGAAACTGTGTGCCTCAAATTTCTAGAAGCTGTTTTTTTCATATTTTACAATTTCTCGATAGACTTGTCTCCACGTGGTACACTCTGGGTAGCATATACGGCAAGAAAATCTATCAATAGGCAGTTGATTTCTGACTTCAAACTATCATGATCCGACTGTATGGCATATTCGATTACTTCCAAAGTACTCCCCTTACCTTTTTCTCTACCTTTGTGTCTTTCTGTCTCTTTACGTCTATGAAACACTCTTCTATCCCCCCCCCCTCGACTTGTTTTGACTTTGATGTTCTTCACATCAGTGAAACCTGAAGTCAAGTAAAGAGCTAATGATAGCCATCATAAAGCCTGTCATTTGATATAAATAAATAATAAATTAATTATTTAATAATTTTTTAAGTAAAAATTTATAAGAAGTTTTTTTTTCGATGCGAACGAAAATTTTTATTCCCCACTGATTATCTCTTTACTTTTTAGGGTCACACTTTCGAGTTGATCGATCATGTGCTTTCTGCGCACAACTTAAGTACTCAACCAACCGAGTGGTTTCAAATTACGCATTTTCTAATCAGAGTTAATAGTACATTCGACATTTGTCAAAATCTGGAATCTGTTTATTCAGAACCTCTACTATCCCTACTGAAACCCTCTTACAAAACTCTCCTCGCAATCCCAAATCCCCAATATTCATGAAAGATGTTTCCTTAAAAGTTCTCTTAAAAATAATTTTCGAAACACTTTTGCCTTTCCAAAGATAGTAGTAATTTACGGGTGGGGGGGTTAATTGCATGACCCTTTGAATATACCTTTTAGCGAACCGCTACCCCACTAAGGCTTGGCTTATACTCGGTTACCCCTACGGCAAATTCTCCGATTTTTTAATGGCTCCCAGGTTTAGCGAAGCTCTATAGGAAAAGACATTTAACGTGGACTACGGTTATTTGGGTTGCGCGTATGTTGGCCATGTGTTGATGACAAGGAGAAAATTCATTAAATACTGTTTAGAAAAGATAACACCGTAATGTCTATAGGTGGGGTGTGCGATAGACTTACCCCCACGTGGTGCACCCTGGGCAACGTATTCTCATACGGCAAAAAAGTCTATTAACCGGCAGTCGACGTCAAACTACCATGACCCCGCTGTATGTCATATTTGATTACTTCCACATTACTCGCCTCGCCTTTTTTTATACCCTTGTGTCTGTCTCTTTTACATCTTTGAAACACTCTTCTCTTCCCTCCCCCCCCCCCTCTCGACCTTTTTTCCCTTCGATGTTCCTTCCTCTCTGTGAAGCCTGAAGTCAACTAAAGGACTAATGATAACCATCAAAACGTCCGCCATTTGATATTAATAAATAAATTGATTGGTCGAGATGTCTCTCCACTCATGACCTCGGTTGCTCCCTTGTGTTTGAGCACACAATCACTTCTTTGCTTCAGCCATGCTAATGTTGTTCGTTCAATGACCTGATTTATGATGCTCAAACTGATTTCTCTGACTTCAAAGAGGAGATCATATCTGCTCCGTTGTTTAGAAAGGACCTTTAACTTTACGCATAATCATTGCACATTTTTAACATCGAAGTTCATAATTATTGGCTAATTATTTGTTGTACTCCATGAGCCTTCACTATTTAAAATTGGATCACCTTGAGAAATAGCCATAAATCATTAATTTAAATTTGCTCAGTCATTTTTCTCTATTTACATTCTAAAGAAGACCAATTACGGTAAGGTATTTTATTATTTTATTATAAGTATTAATATTATAAAAGAAAACCTTTCTGTGATGAAATTAAATTTACAATAAGTGGTTGGTGACTTTGTGATTTGAAATCATTCAAATGAAAGAAAGTGCAGTGTGAACTCAAAAAATTGTAGATTTATTCCTTGTTTGTTTGTGGGGATTTTTCATTTTAAAATCTGTTTGTGGGCTTTACGAATTGGTTCCTGTTCGGTAGAAGAATAAAACCTGTTTCTTGAATTGATCGATAATAAATGATTTGGTGGTTGTTCATCTTCCAGCTAGTTACTATTGGTTGCCTTAAATTTGTGATGTGACGCTGTGGAGTAGATTCTCCTTAAAGCGTAGCTATCTTAAAGCTGCACTTCAAAAACTTTATGTTCAATGTTAGTGATATCACATAACGCCACAGACGCTCTGCATATCTCAATCGGTGTCATCATATCGGTTTTCATGGGCATTCCTCCTCCTTCAGACATTTTATTATTTTAGCAAGTGTCTAAAGCATGTTATGGTGATGTCTCTCGATGCTACAGGCACACACACACACACCGATGGTAATTTGGGGGCTGGCTGGCTTAAGGAATCGAGTTTATGAGTCTCGTCTTGTGCCCCTAGAAGAATGCTGCATCAACCCTCGATTGTTCCACTTTCCGGTCATTTAGCGTCTAGACTAACTAACTAACTAAGCGGCCCAGGGGGCGTCTTGAAGCCATTTTTCTGTAAATTTATGGAAGAGTGTGAGTGAGAGACACCAAGAGGACGCCTAAATTCTTGACCATATGGTTCTCTAGTTTTAGGATACACTTCCGCATTCCTTTTGTGTCTCCACACACATCAGAAAGTTCTTCCATCCAGTACAATTTCTGCTATGTGGACGAACTAAATCAGTCAGTAAGTCTCTATTTGGGGACTTTTCTATTGCGATTTAGAGAAGGAGATTACAATTCTTCGTTACACTATGCATTTTATGATGCCCGCATTCACAACTGGCAAATTCCTTCAATTCATTGTAGGTAAGTAGATTTAATAAAAGTCCTTATTTTGTCAGTTATATTTGATGTATATTTGTCAACATATTAGTACTCAAACCTTATGAAGGGGGATTGACATACGACCTCCATTCTCAGAAATTTAAAATTTTCAGACATTCGACCAAAATTGATTTCTAGCAGTGT